CTCTTCCCTGAATGTCTGGTAGAACTCACCAGTGAAGGCATCTGGACCTGGACTTCTTTTGGTTGGGAATTTTTTGATGACCTGATCAATTTCTTCTTTTGTTATGGGTCTGTTCAAATTTTCTACTTCACTCTGTGTGAGTTTAGGTAGTTCTTGTTTTTCTAAAAATATATCTATCTCTTCTAAGTTCTCAAATTTTTGGAGTACAACTCTTCATAGTATTCTGTTATTATCCTTTTGGTTTCCTTGGTTCCATTGTGACATCGCCCATGTGGTTTCTAATGTGTGTTATTTGTGTCTTCTCCCTCTTTTCTTTTGTTAGGTTTGCCAATGGTTTGTCAATTTTATTAATTCTTTCAAAGAACAAGCTTCTTGTCCTGTTGATTCTTTCTATAGTTTTTCTGTTTTCTATCTCATTTATTTCTGCTCTAATCTTTATTATTTCTATTCTTTTGGTGACTGTAGGTTCCCTCTGTTGGAGATGCTGTGTTAATGTGTTAATTTTGATTCTTTCTTTTTTTTGGATGTGTGCATTTATCACAATAAATTGTCCTCTCAGCACTGCTTTAGCCGTGTCCTAAAGATCTTGGTATGTTGTGTTTTCATTTGTTTCTAGGAACTTTCTGAATTCACGTTTAATGTCTTCTATTATCCAGTTGCTCTTCAGCAGGCTGTTATTCAGTCTCCACGTATTAAACTTTATTTCCTTGGTCTTCTTATTGTTGATTTCTAATTTTATGGCATTGTGGTCTGAAAAGATGCTTTATAGTATTTTGATGTTTGTAAATTTATGGAGGGTTGCTTTGTGACCTAACACATGGTCAATTCTGGAGAATGTTCCATGTGCACTGGAAAAGAATGGATATTGTTGAATGCTCTGTACACATCTATGAGTTGATTGATTGTGCTGTTTAGTTCCTCTGTATCTTGTCAAGTTTCATTCTGGTTGTTATACTCCTTTTCAAAAGTGGCATGTTAAAATCTCTCACTATAATTATAGATTTATCTATTTATTCCTTCAATTCTAGTAGGGTTTGCTTTATATATCTTGGTGCTCTTTCATTTGGAGTGTAGATGTTAATTATGGTTATGTCATCTTGCTCAATTGACCCTTTAATCATGAGATAGTGTCCTTATCTCTTATGCTGGTTTTTGCCTTAAAGTTTATTTTTATCAGAGATTAGTATTGCCACTCCTACTTGTGTTTTTTTTTTTTTTATTGCTGATAGCTTGCTATATTTTTTTCCATCCTTAAACTTTTAGTCTGTTTTGGTCTTTGTGTGTAAGCTGTGTTTCTTGCAGGCAGCATATTGAAGGGTCTTGTTTTCTTATCCATTCAGCCACTCTCTGTCTCTTCACTGGTGCATTTAATCCATTGGCATTCAGTGTAATTATCGGTAGGTATGGATTAACTGTTGTCATTATGTTAATTTTTTGTGGTGCTGTTTCTTCCTTTGTTCTGCATGCCGTCTTGTGCTGTGTTCATGTTTTTTTTGTGCTAATAGTGAGGTATTCTTTCACCGTACTTATTCAAGCTGTATGCTGAGCAAATAATCCAAGAAGCTCGGTTCTATGAAGAAAAACGTGGCATCAAGATTCTTATCAACGGAGAAAAGATTGAAGTTGTCAAGGACATCATTCTTCTTGGATCAACTACCAACACTCATGGAAGCAGCAGTCAAGAGATCAAATGACATATTGCATTGGGCAAATCTGCTGCACAAGACCTTTTTAAAGTGTTGAAGAGGACTTAAAAGTGTCAGCTTGAGGACTGACCCAAGTCCATGGTATTTTCAATAACCTCATATGCATGCGAAAGCTGGACAGTGATTAAGGAAGACCGTAGAAGAATTGATGCCTTTGAGTTATGGTGTTGGAGGAGAATATTGAAAGTGCCATGGACTGCCAAAAGAACCAAAAGATCTGTTTTGAAAGAAGCGCAGCCAGAGTGCTCCTTGGAGGCCATGATGGCCAAACTTCGTCTCTTGGTACTTCAGACATATTGTCAGGAGGGAGCAGTCACTGGAGAAGGATATCATGTTTGGTAAGGTGGAGGGTCAGAGAAAAAGAGGAAGACCCTCCAACGAGATGCATTGGCCAAGTGGCAGCATCTATGGACTCAAGCGTGGCAACAATAGTGAGGTTGGCCCAGGACCAGGCAGTGTTTCGTTCTGCTGTGCATACTCGATGGCACCTAACAACAATAAAGTCATAATTTATCTGTAGGGACTCTGCTCACCCCTCCTTCCCACCAGATGTCATGTTTAGTCTATTTCACAGATATTCTGCTGACTGGACCTAGGAAGGAAGTATCAGTGAGTCTAGACCTATCGGTAAGATATTTTACACTACAGAATGAAAAATTAACCTTACAAAAATGCAAATGCCTTCCTCCTTGGTTTAATTTCTAGGGGATCAGTGGAGTAGGGGATGTTAAGATATTGAAATGAAGGATAAGTTGTTACATCTGACCCCTCCTACAACTAAAACGTAGGCACACCCTTGGTGGGCCTCATTGGATTTTGTAGGCAACATACCCCTCAATTGGGTATGCTACTCTGGCCTATTTATCAAGTGACTTGAACAGCTGCCAGTTTTGAGTGGGGCTCAGAACACCGAAAGGCTCTGCAACAGGTTCAGGCAGCCGAGCAAGCTGCTTTGCTATTTGGGTGACATGACCTGGCTGATCCAATGAAGTTTGCAGTATGAGAGGCAGATAGAGATGCTGTTTTCAGTCTTTGACAGGCCTCTTAGAATTCTGGAGCAAAGTGCTGTCATCCTCTGCAAAGAGCGACTTTGTTTTTGAGGAATAGCTTTGGCTTAATATTGGGCCTTAATAGAGACTGAATGCTTAACCAGGCGCAATCAAGTCACCATGCAGCCTGAGTTTCCCATCATGAGTTGGGTGTTGCCTGACTCACAGGGTCAAAAATTAGACACGCACGGCAGTCCTCCATTATTACATGGAAGTGGTATATACAAGGTCGGGCTCCAGAAAGACTAGGTTATGTGAGCAAGTGGCCCAAATACTCATGGTCTCCACCCCTGGCACCTTCCCTTTCCTCTCCCAGTATGCTCTAATGGCTTCCTGGGGAGTTCATTATGATTAGTTGACTGAGGAAGGGGGAGACTCGTGCTTGGTTTAGAGACAGTCTGGTGAAATAGGCAGGTATCACTTGGAAATACGTAGACAAGGGCACCCTACAGCCCCTTTCTAGGACTCCCCTGTAGGACAACAGTAAAGGGAAACAGCCCTTGTGGGCAGAGCTTCAAACAGTGCACCTGGTGGTTGATTTTGCTTGGATGGAGAGATACCCAGATGTGTGATGTTGTGGCCATTGGCTGGATGATTAGGGACTTGGAAGAAACATGATTGGAAAATTGGTGACAAAGAGGTCTATGGATGGATCTTTCTGAATGGGTCACAGAAGTGAAGCTATTTGAGACCAACACTGAGTGTGTTTTCAGTTGTATACATGTTAATTGTATCACATTAGACACAAGTATGACTCTATTTAGAAATTATGTAGGGTTTAAAGAGATGTATACAGGTACCACGTTGACAAAGGCTATGTAATGTATCACTTTGGCTGGGCCCTGATTCTTAGTCGTATTCCCTTCCATTGTGTGGTCTGGTGCAAGGGATGTTTCCTTGGGGGTGTAGACTGCATCCAACACATATAAGTACTCTGGCAGAGCTCTCTTGATCCTGTAACCGAGTTGTTATCATCTGACCTTTGATTCTCGAGATCTAAGTCGGCAGCCTGCTGCCTGACCTGCAGATTTTGGGATTCACCAGCTCCCGCAGCTCCGTGAGAAAGCACACAGCCATCTGACCTGCCGATTTGGGGTTTGCCAGCCCCTGCATCCGACGAGGCCGGAGAAGCCTCCAATCTGATGCCTGACCTGCGGATCTAGGACTCACCAGCCTTCACAACTGCACAAGGCATTTCCTTGAAAGAAATCTTTCTCTCTCACTCTCTCTGTACACAAATTGTATGTACATGTGATCTACCTGAAAAGGGACTTGAAAAGTTTGTGGGAGAATTCCATGATCTTTTAATTCCATTTTCCCATGAATCTTTTGAAGCTCCTTCATATCTGTGTATGCACTTCATTGGTTTTGCTTCTTTAGAGCACCCAGCCTACGATTCCAGATTCCATCCTGAGTATGTTCACTTACAATCAGTGCTATCAGAAATGATATTAGTAACATCAAATGTGTGAACTCCTTGAGAGTATACCAAGGCCTCTGAGCACCACTGACATGTGCCAGTTTCAGGCCAAGGCTGTCAAAGGCTGTGTACAGAAAAGTGGGTTGAAATCCATGAGTGCTGGCTCTGAAGCCCCCATAGTAATCTCAGGGGCATAAAGTGCCTCATCCTAAGCTGAGAGGGAACATTCTAGTACCAACAATGAGCAGGGCCTTGCGGGTAAGCAGAGGCACAGGAGGAGCCCCAGAATAATGACACCCAAAGACGCCCATGTCCTGTTCCCCAGAACCTGTGTGTATGTTAAATTTCATGGCATGGGAGGGAGAGTTCAGGTTGCTATTCAGGTGTATCCAGGAGCCTACTGGTGCAATGCTTAAGCACTCAGCTGCTATCTGAAAGATCAGTTGCTTTATTGATTATACAAAGGTTATTGATTGTGTGGATCACGGCAAGCTATGGACAACATTGCAGAGAATGAATATTCTGGAACATTTGATTGTGCTCCTGAGGAACCTATACATAGACTAAGAGGCAGTTAAGTGCTTTCTTCAATTTGCTGCAGTGGTGTTCTTTCCTCCATTGGACAGAGGCCCTCGGGGACATGTCCATTCAGCCATCCAGGGACCAGGACGCTTTGCAGCAGCAGCAAGTGAAGACCTGTGACAGCAGCAGAAAGTGGAGACCTGTGAGGCTCTGTTGAGCCGGAGCTGCTCTGAACAGACGGCGCCAGCAGGAGTGGCACAAGGCGACCAGGGATGCTCGAAGCAGGTCAGGCTGCAGGAAAAGCTAACCAACCTTTATATGTGCAAATAAGGAATGGGCGGCCTTATGAGGTCTGGTGCTGATGTCCAGGATGCTCAGGATGCTCCGGGCTTCACTGCTTGACAGGTTCCCCTTGATGACCAGGATGGCGCTCAGGTGGTCTTTGCTGGCAAGGAGAGCATCTGTCAGCCCAGGCTGATCACAGACATCCCTAGTCCCACCTCATCCCAGCTTCTCCAGCCCCTGGACACTGCTGCCACAGGGCCTTGCAGCCTGTAGGACCCACCACACTCCCAGACCCACGGACCCTTCCTGTCTCTAGAGCAGGTCAAGCCCCAGCCCACCTTGGGCCTTCACACCTGCTGTTCCTCTGGAAGGCTCTTCCCTGAGTTCTTGAGACAAGCCTCTTGTCACCTTTAGATCTCAGCTGAAATGTCACAAAGAAGCCTTCCCAGCTAAAAGCACCTCCTGCTAGTCATGGCCTTGGCTAGAACCCTCCTTATGGCTTGCAGATGCAAGTTTGCCCTGCCTGATGACTTTGTTGCAGAGTGCCCTCAATTGTCTACAAGCTACACGATGTAAGACTGAGACCAGGCCCTCCGGTAACTCACTGCATCTCAGTGCCTAGAACAGAGCTTCTACCTATCAGGAGGTCACTCAATAACTGTCCAGCCGAGTGGTCCAGACAGGTGAGTGGATGGATGGATGGATGGATGGATGGATGGATGGATGGATGGGTGAATAGACAGACAGGCAAGTAGGTGGATAGATGGATGGATGGATGGATGGACATACTGGTGAGTAGGTGGAGGATGGATGGATGGATGGATGGATGGATGGGTGAGTAGATAGTTGGATGGATGCTTGGATGAGTAGGTAGAAGAATGTGTGAGTGGGTAGGTAAGTGGGCAGGTTGATAGGTGACAAGCTGATTGGGTGGGTCGGCAAATGGATGGGTAGGCAGATAGACAGGTGGGGTGGGTTAGTCAGGATGTAAGCTAGGGTAACCTGGGTCAACCCAACTCAACACATGTTTAAACTTTTCTTTCCATGTTAGACATCCCAGCCTACCAAGAACAGCTGTCCCTGGCTCACCAGGCTGTCCAGCATTCAGAGGATGAGCCTCCATTCAAGAACAGGGGTCACCCAGGACGTGGGGTCTGTGGTCCTGAGGGCTGTAAGCTGAGTGATGGTGTCAGCTTCCGTACTGACATGCCATGGCCCAGCATGTCCCTGCTCTCTCTGGGCACAGTTTCCCCTTCTGAGAGGCTAAGAGTTTGGGGTATAGAGCATGACTGCCTGGCTTGGTCATCTTGACTCTCCCACTGCCCACTGGGTCACTGTGGGTCCCTTCTTCAGCTCTGTAGGCCTCATCCACACCATGAGGACAGAAAGTGCTGGCCTCGATCAGTTGTGGAGAGGATGAGATAAATAAATCCCTGCTGACCGCATCACTGGGACCAGCATCTAAGCTCCCTGGGCTTCTGACCACAGACAGTGGGACCTGGGAGCACCTCCTTTCTCACCTGAAGTCGGGGTACAAGGTGGCATAAGTGGCTACCTCCATCTTGATGGCACTGGGGTCTTGCAGACGAATGATCTCGGCTAGCCTGGGGATAGCAGGGTCCAGCCAGGTGGCATGGGAGCCCTGTAGACATAGGTCTTGTTGGTGGGAGGCTGACCTTCCCCACGGAGCACCAGGGCCCCGAGCGGCCCTGAGGGGCTGTCATGGTGTCTGACAGGTTCAGGACGGGCGGGTGAATGGCTTACATTCTGAGTGCAGAAGTGCTGGATGAGGGCGGCGTTGTAGAGGATGTGCCCCGCCAGCTGCTGCTGATGCTCGGCTGTTTTGAGGACCAGGTGCCGCTTGCTGAGGCAGATGATGTACTCCTTCACCAGGTGCAGGTGCACGACCTCCATCAGCTCCTAGGGGGCCGGTGGCCAGGTGGTGTGAGCTGACGGGGAGCACAACTCATGGCTTGTGCACGCCCAGGTGGGAACTCAGGGAGAGGCCGGGGACAGAGCACACACACGATGGAGGGGGTGTCAGGACTGCCCTGCCCCCCCAACCACCAGTCATCACCTATGTGTGTGTGTGATGCTGTGTAGTTGCGTGTGTGTCCCCATGGCCAGCCACTGGCCCAGTACCTGTGTGCACACGTGATCTGCCTGTGTGTGACTGTATGACCCCATGGTCAGCCACCGGCCCAGTACCTGAGTGCACATGTGATCTGCCTGTGTGTGTGACTGTGTGTCCCCATGGCCAGCCACCGGCCCAGTACCTGTGTGCACCTGTGGTCTGCCTGTGTGTGTGACCACGTGTCCATGCCCGCCCATCCTGTCAGCGCCTCCTCACCTCCTGGAAGCAGTCCTGCAGCTCTGAAAACTCAGGCAGCCTGTGGGCCACAGTGGCCAGGATTTCCTCCATTAGCTCCTCTGGAGCCGCCCAGCGGATCTGCGAGAACCTCTTGAACAGTGGCTGTGACAAGAGCCGCAGGATGTTTGACCAGCAGAGGCTCTCACACAGACATGGGCCCCAGTCCCTCTCCCAGACACCCAGGCAGAGGTGGGGGGTGGCCAGACCCAGAGCTCAGGACTCCCAGGGGTCTTGGTGTGGTTCTATAGGATAAGCGCTGGACTGCAAGGTTGGTTTGAGCCACAAGGTTCAAACTCACCAGCTACTCCTCGGAAACCCTATAGAAGGTCACTAGGAGATGAAACTGACTCAAAGGCACTTCAACAGGGGTCCAGGGAGGACTCAAGTCCCTCTTCCAAGACAGGAAGTAGATGCAGGTTCTGTGACCCTTCTCTCAGGTTCCCAGCTGGGGCCCAGAGACTGGGACAGCTGGCTGCCTGTCTTGGGGAAGGGCCCTTACATTAATACATTGAGTCTAGGTTCAGAAACATCTGACTTTCGAACAACAAGTAATTAAGAACGGACTACCATAAAGGGTGTTGTATTAAAAATGTGAGTGAACTACAGCGGCCCCTAACAACACAGGCTCTAGTGTGTGACATTCATGAAAACATGAATCTTTTTTTTTCTTAAATGTTTTAGTGAATTATGTGATAGTTTACATGGGAGAACATTAATTTTACATTCATTCTATCGTATATTGTCTCATTGCCATGGTTACAATCCCCTCCAGAAAACATGGATCTTAAAACTGTTTTAGGAATTACTTCTTCAATGTTTTCTACAGTTCTGTAGACCTACCTACATACATACAAAATCTCTCTTCAGTATAGTACTGGATGTAGCTACTTTTATTATTGGTGGTGGTGTGCCGTGGAGACGGTTCCAACTCATAGCGACCCTGAAGAGTGTTTCCGAGGCTGTAAATCTTTACGGGAGCGGAAAGCCTCATTTTCTCCCATGGAACAGCTGGCAGTTTCAAACTGCTGACCTTGAGGTTTGCAGCCCAATTCATAACCACTACGCTACGGTTTCCAAGGCTGTAAATCTTTACGGGAGCAGAAAGCCTCATCTTTCTCCCACGGAACAGCTGGTAGTTTCAAACTGATGACCTTGAGGTTTGCAGTCCAACTCATAACCACTCAAAACCTGCAAACCTCTACGGTTTCTGAGGCGGTAGATTTTAACGGGAGCAGAAAGCCTCATCTGTCTCTCATGGAGCAACTGGTAGATTTGAACTGCTGAACTTGAGGTTAACAGCTCAGCTTGTAATCCATTTTGCTACCAGGGCTCCTTACGTTTATTATTATTATGTTGTGGACTCCTGGTGTGATGCTGCAGGTTCAGAACTGGACGGCAAACCATAAGGTCGGCAGTTCAAATCTTCCAGCCGCTCCTCGGAAACCTTATGCGGGTCCCTATGAGTTGGAATTGACTCGACAGCACTTAATAATTATTATATATTATTGTGTTTAAGATGTTTTAGTGAATAGGGGAGTGCTGGGTTAAGTGTTTGATGTACAGTGTTGTTGTTAAGTGCTGTCGAGTCGATTCTGACTACTAGGGACCCTTGTATAAGATTTTTGAGGAGCATCTCATGGGTTTGAACCATCGACTTTGCAGTTGGCAGTCTAGTGCTATATACTATATACTAAGACCAAGATTTGATTATTGTTAAATGCTGTTGAGTGAGTTCTAACTCACAGCAATCCTTATAGGGTTTCTGAGGAGTGGTTGGTGGGTTTGAACTGCTGATTTTGCAGTTAGCAGTCCAGGGCTTATCTTACAGTGCCTACCAGGACTCCAGATATCCGACTGGTGGTGGTGGTGTGTTGTAGAGTCGGTTCTGACTCACATTGACCCTCTCTAGGGTTTCTGAGGCTGTAAATCTTTATGGGAGCAGAGAGCCTCATCTTTCTCCTGCATAATTTCTGGTAGATTCGAACGGCTGACCTTGAGGTTTGCAGCCCAACTTGTAACCCAGTATGCTTCTTAAATATCTGCCTAAGTAAGTTCTGGTATGAGTTGGGCTGTTAACCTCAAGTTCAGCAGTTTGAAACTACCAGCTGTTCCGTGGGAGAAAGATGAGGCTTTTCGCTCCCATAAAGATTTATAGCCTTGGAAACCCTGTACAGGGTCACTGTGAGTCAGAGCCGACTCCACGGCCCACAATCACCACCGCCAAGGTTAAGTAAGAACCTTATGTATCTGTTCTGACTTGGAAATGATTCTTGTTCATAACCTGGGACGTGCCTGTAAATTCCTGCATACATAACGGCATAGCTTGATTGGGCCTGTGAGTGTCAGAGCCAAATCATTCAGGGTCATCACTGTTTGGACCTCTACCACCAGGTGGCCATAATCCGTGAGTCAGGTTGTCCAAGTCAGGTTGTCCTGCCCTGGGCAACTGGCGAGTGTGGTTGGGGACCCTGCTTCAGTCCTCTGTTCGAAGCTCTAAGGGGTTTTTGAAAACTCCTGACCCACCTCAGTGTGATGGGTGGCTGCTGAGGGCACAGAGCATCAGGGGTGAGAGCTGGCATGGAGGCAGGTGGGTAGGGACTTGAGGAAACATGTGTGAACTTGGTGGGCGGCAGAAACTTGCCCCATATAAACCATGCCCTCCCAGCCCTAGGCAGTGCTGCTCAGATGCTCATTGGGGAAAGAGCCCTTCCCATCTCCCAGGGTCACTAGCTTCTCACGGTGGAGCCAGCCCAGCCCTGCCACAGCCCGGGCCCCTGACCTTCCAGTCCTAGGCCCGCCCCAGTGGAGCACCCACCTACCCTCCCAGCCCCGCCAAAGGGAAGAGACTCTACTTACCTCCAGGTCCAGGAGCAGGCTCTGGAGTAAGGAGTCAAAGCCACGAGCCTTAAGCTCATTCAGGGGGCCCAGCACGTGGCTGGGGGGTGTCTGCCACATCTGCTCCACAGACATTCTGGAGGGAACAGACCCTGCCCAGCCTCTAGCCGCCCCCACCCCCAGGGACCCAGCCAATCCCAGATGAATCAGGCTAAACCATCTCCTGCACTCTAGAACCTTGGATGGCTCCCATGTGCTGTGGGTCAGCCATCCATGGACTTCCTGGGGCAGGGCTCAGGCTGACCTTCCAGCCTCTCCCCAAAGTTTGCTCCCCTCTACCTCCCAGACCTCACCTTATACCTGCTCCTCCACCTCCCAGGCCTCACCCTATACCTGCTCCTCCACCTCCCATACCCACCCTGCACCATCCCCTCCACCTCCCAGTCCTACCCTTCACCCTCCCCTCCACTGCCCAGCACCACCTTGCACCCTCCCTTCCACCTCCCAGTCCCACCCTGGACCCTCCCCTTCAGGGCCCAGCCCCCACCCCACTCCCACCCCTCCATCCATGCCCACCTACACTTCCCAGCCACCCTGCTCTGTTGGGTCACCACCCTTACCTGAAGGACAGGCAGTTGTTGATGTTGGCAATGACATTGGCCTTGTAATTTTTTGTCTGTTTACATCTCTCTAGAAATTTGTCAAAGGCACGCTGGTAGCTGTGGAACCGGCAGAAGCACCTTAGGACCAGCCCAGCACCCCAACCCCCTCAGCTGCTCTGGGCTAGAGGCTTCCTTCCCCCTTCTCTCAGCTCCCACCACCTGGCTCTGCTGCCCCACCTGTCCGCAGGCCCCTCCCACCTGGAAGACTGGGGTGGGGTGGGGTGGGTTCAGGAGAGCAGGGGGAGCTCAGAGCATCATGGGACATGAAGAGGGCCGGCTCCCACTCCCACGGGCAAGTCCTCTTTGTAGCTGGAGGCAGCTCTCCTGAGAGTGGGCCTGAGAGTTAGTGGGGGGACAGGGAGGTTCTGGTGGAGGGGGGGAGCTAGGTCACCCAGTGTCAGTGCCCAGGAGGGAGCGGGCAGGGGAGAGACAGACACAGACACCCTAGGGGCAGGGAGGTGGGGCTGATCTAGCTTGGATCCTCACCTGGAACACAAAGGAGGGGTCCCAGCTGCAGAGACCCCGGCCACATACATACACTCACAAGCAAGCACCCACCTCCTGAAGAATCCAGCCAGCTCCATCAGCAGCACCTGCTTAATCTGCATGCCCAGGTCAGTGGTGATGTCCTTGGCCTTGATCTGCCTCTGGGAGATGATCTGCAGAGGGCAGAGGGTAAGTCCAGCAGGGCAGGACTGAGGCGGGGGTGGGGTTTGCAGGGGGCACACTGGAGCAGCTGGAGATGCTGGAGGGGGCACATTACAGGCACTCAGAGTGGGGGAGCTCTGCCCCCCACCACAGGATTCCACAGGCCTGGGCTGCATGTGCACCTCACTTGGGGGAGGAGGGCAGGACAGACCATGGTACCTGCATGACATGGCTGGCCAGCTCGCTGTGACAGTGACCGTTCACCCTCTGAGGGGGCACATCCTGGGCCCAGTCCTGGGACTCCAGTTCCAGGGCCCGGCCCATCAGCTCCTTCACCTTGGCCTGGGATTGGGGGTGGAGGCAGGCTGGTCAGGGAGCTGGTCTCCCAGGTGGCTCAGAGCCAGTTCCCTGGACCTTCCCCTATGAACACCTGCCTCTCTCCTCTGCTCCCTCCCCTGTCCCAAATGCTCCAGCCCCTAGAGATGCCCCCACCTAGCTCAAGATGACAGCTGAGGAATGAACCCTTAGAGACTGAGCCTGGGTCCCTCCTCATCCTGCTGACTGGGGCCCAGTTACCAGGTCCTGGGCCCTGGCTAAACCCTTACAGCCCTCTGCCTGGCTGTTTGTCTGTCCACTGCCCACAGCCCATCTGTCTCTGAGCCTCCCCTGCATTTCCTTCCCACAGCGCCAGCTTGGGCCCCATCTGGACTCACCGCCTCATCAGACAGGAATGTGGCCTCCAGTTGCCGGATCTGCCTGGGGGGCAGGAGACTCCCCAATCTGACATCCTGCAGTTCAGCTGCCAGCTTGGGGCTACTGATGATGTCACTGTGGGCAGAGGGTGGTCGAGTGAAGAACTGGGTTGCAAGGCACTGTCTCTCAAATAGAGCCCCCACCCAAGCCCAGCTAGTCCAGCAGACCTAGAGCTGGACCCCTCTTCCCCATCACCCCTCTTTCCCATCCGCCCAGCCTGGCTCAGGCCAAACCTGGGGCTTCACCTTCCTTTGTCTCTTAGTCCCCTCCACTCCTTCTCTAAGGGTCCCCTGAAATACTCCACTGTGCGGCACTCTGGTTCCCTACTCCCATGCCAGGCCTCCTGACTGGTCTCCTTGCCTCAGCCCTAACCCTCAGTAATCCCTCCTCCACCCAGCAGAGGCCAGGGCCACCTGTGAAAAGACGTGACTTGCCCTCTCCTGGAGAGGAAGCCCAGCTCCCACCTCCCACCCCTAGCACTGGACTCCACACTGATGACCCCAGTGACCCACCAGCCCTGAGCCAGGATGCCGGGCATCTAGACTCACTCTGGTGGCGCCTCTGCAGGGTCCCAGAGCTCCCAGGGGACCCACCCAGCCCTGCACTTCCTGAGAGCCCTGTCTGCTCCAAGAGTTAAGTACTGTCCTCTCTGTGCCCTGGCTGTAGGGTGTCCCCTTGCTCCTCACACTTCTGGCCACACTGGCCTTGACAATCCTTCCCTGGACACTGGCCTCTAGGGTTTGGTTTCATGTTCAGCTCAGCCTCAGTCCCACAGGCTCAGGGCCAGGAAACTTTGAGGTCACAGGGACAGGAAGGCAGAAGACCAGATGCCCAACACTTCCTAGTGAGTCAGGAGAAGTAAGAAGGAACTTGCCCAGGGCTGGGCCGTGTCCTCCAGCTCCTGCCTGGGACCAGATTTCCCTGTGCCAATGGAGTCCCCATCCACTGCCCCTGCTGGCCCTTCCTCGGGCCCTCCTACCAGAAGCTGACCATCAGTGCCAGCAGAGCCCATGGTATTAACCAGTGTGTCCAAAATGCTCAGATTATGGGCTACCTCTCCGGACTTCTGCCTCCAGACTCTACACCCGAGGTGCTGAACACTGCAGTGAGAACCTCAGTCTCCTGTTCCCGGGCATTTCTGTGGTCAAGTCCCTCCTCACCCACCAGTGGCCTGTGAGAATGGCAGGCAAGCTGTAAGGTCCATGAGGCAGCGTGTACACAGCTGAGATTCCTTGTGACTTCCAATGGCATTTCTACTTCCATCTAAGGAGTGAAGGCTGACTGGAGCACTCCGTCCAGCAGGGGTCTGTATAAGACACCCTTTGGTCTTGCCCACTTATGACACTCCTGACTGGATAAAACGAAACACCCACAAACCCTCTATAGTTCCTAGAATGCCCCGAGGCTAAGCCTTAGGCCCTGGCCTTGGTTTTTCTCACACCTGTCTCCAGACTTGTCCTCTCCCCTCCCTGCCTGGCTCCTGTACACACCTTAGACTGTAAGCTCCCCCAGGGTAAGGCAGGCTCCTGTCTATGCTGCTCCTCTTCCTCTGTGCTGGCTTCTGGCACTTCTCAGACTGTGTCAGAATCCCTGCTCTGGGCTCTCCCAGTCCCTGGCCTCCTATATATGTTTCACCCCTCTACCCAAATTGGGAGCTCAGGAAGTACTGATGGAGTGAATGAATAACAAGAACATTGTCTGTGGATGAGCATGTATCTGAAGTCTGGGAAATGAAGGATTCCAAGGCAAAAGCCACACAACACACGAAGCACCATTCATGTGACACTTTGTCATTCTGTGGTGCTGGAAGTTATGCTACTGGTAACTTAAATACCATTGTTGTTGTTGTTAAGTGCTGTCGAGTCAGTTCTGACCCATAGAGACCCTTTACAGGGTTTCCAAGGAGTCGCTGGTGAGCCTAAATACCATAAGTGTCAACTAAAATGGATAGGTTTCAGTAAACATTCCAGATGAAGACAGACTAGGAAAAAGGAAGCGAACCACTTCTCAATGGCTGTTCCTGTACTTGTTAAATATCATGGAGTTGGTTCCAACTCATAGCTACCCTGTATAGGTTTTCAAGGAAGAGCTGGTGGGTTTAAACTGCAACCAGTGCTAATCCTATAGCCACCGAAAACCTTACGAATAGCAGTGGAACATTGCTTGATAAAATACCAGAAGATGAGTCCTTCAGGTTGGAAAGCACTCAAAATATGACTAAGGAAGTGCTTCCTCCTCAAATTCGAGTTGACATTAACCATATGGATGGAATAAAGTTTTCAGGACCTTCAATTGCTTATAGGACACAACACAAAATGAGAAGAAATATCCGTAAACATTCATTCATAATCAGAACATGGGATGTATGAAGTATGAATTTAAGAAACTTGGACATCACCAAAAATGAAATGAAATGCATAAAGATTAACATCCTAAGAGGTCTATTGTGGTGTTGTGGTTGATGTGCTGGACAGCAACATTAGTTTGAACCACAGGTTGGGGGTTCAAGCTCATCAGCTGCTCCTCGGAAACCCTATAAAGGTTCACTGTGGGTCAGAACCGGCTCAATGGCACTTAACAACAACAACAACACTGAACTGAAATAGACCGGTATTAGCTATTTTTGAATTGGACAATCATGTGGTTTACTGTGCAGGGAACGACAAAATGAAGAAGAAGGATGACACATTTATCGTCAAAAAGAGCATTTGAAGATGTATGTTGAAGTACAATGCTGTCTGTGATAGGATAATATCCATTCTCCTACAAGGAAGACCAGTTAATATCACTATTATTCAAATTTATGCTCCAACCACTAAAGCCAGTGATGATGAAATTGAAGAATTCTAGCGACTTTTTTCAGTCTGAAATTGATCAAGATGCATTGATAATTACGGGCAATTAGAATTCAAAAGTTGAAATAAAGGAAGTATCAGTAGTTGGAAAATGTGGCCTTGGTGACACTGGAGATTCCGTGACTGAATTTTGCAAGGCCAATGATATGTTCACTGCAAATAGCATTTTTTAAAAGGCATAAAAGGTGACTATACATATAGACCTCACCAGATGGAATACACAGGAATCAAATGCAAATCTGTGGTAAGAACAATGGAGAAGCTCACTAACATCAACCAAAACAAGGCCAGGGGTTGACTGTGGAACAAACCGTCAATTGCTCATACGCAAGTTCAGACTAAAGCTGAGGAAAACAAAAACAAGTTCATAGGAGCAAAATATGACCTTGAACATATCCTGCCTGAATTTAGAGACCATCTCAAGAACAGATTTGATGCATTAGACATCAAATGACTGAAGTCCAGAAGAGCTGTAGGATGACATCAAGAACATTATGCAGAAAGATAATAAAAAGACAGGAAAGAAAGACAGGACCAAAATGGATGTCAGGAGAGACTCTCAAACTTGCTTTCCAGTGCAGATATGCTAAAGCCAATGGGAAAAAAATGAGGAAATAAAAGATCTGAACAGAAAATTTCAAAGGGCAACTTGAGACAACAAAACTAAATATTATAAAGAAATGTACAAAGACTTGGAGTTAAAAGAACTAGAGAAGAAGTTCAAAGTTTGATTTGTAATGTTGAAGGATTCTATATTGAACGGTGCAGAAAGCATCAAAAGAATATGGAATACACAGAGTCTTTGCACCAAAAAGAAATGGTCAGGGTTCAACTATTTCAAGAGGTAGCATATGAGCAAGAGCCAATGGAACTAAAGGCAGAAGTGTAAGCTACATTGAAGGCACTGGCGAAAACCAAAACTTCAGGAAATGATGGAATACAAATTGAAATCTTTCAACACACTGATGCCACAGTGTGGCTTTCACCCATCTATGCTAAGAAATTTGGAAGACAGCTACCTGGATCCATTTTGTGCCCATTCTGAAGAGAGGTGACCAGTGTAATGCAGAAATCATTGACCAATATAATTAATATCACACGCAAGTAAAATTTTGTTGACGATAATTAAAAAATGGTTGAAACAGCACATAGACAAGGGGTGGTTGTGTGACCCTGTATAGGGTTTCCAAGGTTGTAAATCTTTACGTCTCATTGATAGGGAACTACCGGAACTTCAAGCTGGGTTCAGAAGAGGACGTGGAACTACGGATATCATTGCTGACATCGGATGGACCGTGTCTGAAAGCAGAAAATACCAGAAAGGTGTTTATTAAAATGGAGTCCTGGTGTGGCACTGTGGTTTAATGTGCTGGACTGCAAAGTCCATTTGAAACGCAAGGGCAACAGTTCAAGCTCACCAGCTGCTCATGGGAAATCCTATACGGGAAACCCATGGGTTGGATTCTATTTGACAGCAACAACAACAAATCCTTCATTGACTATGCAAAGGCTTTTGATTGTGTGGATCATGACAAACTGTGGACCATATTGTGGAAAATGGGTATTCTATAACATCTGATGGTACTCATTAGGAACCTGTTCTTAAATCAATAGTAGTCATTCTAACACAACAAGGGGACACTGAACAGTTTAAATCAGGAAAGGTGTGAGCCAGGTTGTATAGTTTCACCATTTTTATTCAATCGGAACACTGAGCAAATAATCCAAGAGGCTAAATTGTATGAAGAAGAACGTGGCATCAGAATTAGAGGAAGAATCATTAATAACCTGTGATATGCAGATCACATACTTTGCTTGCTGAAAGTGAAGACGCCTTAAAATACTTACTGATGAAGACCCAAGACCAAAGCCTTCAGTATGGATGACATCTTAATGTAAAGAAAACAAAAATCCTTACCGCAGGACCAATAATAAATAATATCATGGAAAATGGAGAAAAGATTGAAATTGTCAAAGAGTTCATTTTGCTTGGATCAACAACCATCAACACTCATGGAAGCAACAGTCACGAAACCAATGACATATTGCATTAGGCAAATCTGTTGCACAAGACCTCTTTCTTTAAAGTGTTCAAGAGCTAAGATGTCAGTTTGAGAACTAGAGTGCGCCAGATCCAAGCCATGGGATTTACCATTGCCCCATATGCGTGCTAAAGTTGGAAGAATGGATACATTTGAATTATGGTGTTGGAGAAGAATATCACAAGTACTATGCACTTTTGGAAGACCAAACAAATATGTGTTGAAGAAGTACAACCAGAATGTGCCTTTGGTTGGTAAGACTTCATCTCTCCTACTTCAGAAGGAACCAGTCCCTGGAGTAGGAGGACAGCATGCTTGGTAAAATGGAGGGACCCCTAAAAAGAGGAAGACCCTTAACAAGACGGACTGACACAGTGGCAGCTACAATAGACTCCACAATTGTGAGGCTAGCACGGAACCGGCAGTGTAGCTATGAGTCAGAACCAACTAACACCAATCACAAAGTGGAGGGGCATGGTCAAAGAGAAACTCCCTCAAACAAGATGGATTGACACAGTGGAAGCAACACTGGGCTCAAGCATAATACTGGTAAAGATGGCATAGGACTGGGCAGTGTTTCCTTCTGTAGCGCATTTGGTATCTATGAATTGGGACCAACTCGAGGGCACCTAAACAAGAAGAAAGGTAGGTTTATCCCAGGTCCCACTTCGACTGTGAGATGCATGTCCAGGCCCTTTGGGCCCAGGCCACAACCCTACCCTCAACCCCTTTAATGCTCCAGGCACTCTGGACACATTTGCATCCCAGACTCCACTGGGACAGCACATTGAGTCACCAGGCGCCGCCCCTTAAGCCTAGGCCCGACCCCTGCCCTCAACCCTTTACCTGCTCCCTGCCGCTTGGATAACTCCTCATAACCCAGGTCTTCCTGGGACGTTGCCCTGCATTCCCAGCTCTCACGTGAACTCAAGTCCTGTCCCTACCCTCAAACCGTTCCAGGCTGCCTGCAGCACTTGAGCCCTCTCAGTAGCCCAGGTTCATTGGGATGGAGTCCTAAGTGCCCAAGTCTTACTCCTTGAGCTCAGGCCCTGCCGCCCTTTCCAACCTCCCCAGCTAGGTCTTCTGTAGCGCACTCCCCCGCCGGCGTCCTGGCTCTTACTTGGGGTAGAGATTTTGCACCCAGACCAGCAGCATGTAGGTGTCGCGCTCACACAACTCGAACTGCGCCATGGCGGCCAGCTGGGCAGCGAAGTGCTCATGGTAGCTCTCGGCGTAGGCCGCCACCACGTGGAACTCGGCGGGGAAGACTGGCAGCAGCAGCTCCACCACGGCCTCCAGGTCCTCCTTCATGGTGCGGCCCAGGTGCAGGAAGGCGCGCTCCGCCTCCGAGAGGCCCTCGGCGCCCGCCGCCGGCTGCCCGCCCAACCGCTCCTCGGCCACCTGCGCCACGCCGCGCCGCCACAGCTGCAGCCAGCGCCGCGGTCGCGTGGGCGCCAGCACCGAGTCCTCGGACCCCGCCGCCGCCCGGCGGTCCTCGAGCTCCTGCTCGGACACTATGGCCAGCGCCTGGCGCAGCCGCTCGGGGGCCACCTCCAGGGGCCGCCACAGCACGCCCAGCACCAGGTCCCTCAGCAGTATGTACAGCGCCTCCACTTTGCTCTGGCGCTGCACCAGCTCCTCCTGGCTCATGCCACCCGCCGCCGCGGCCACCAGCAGCTCCCGCTCCAGAGCCAGCAGTGGCCCTGAGGCCTCCAGCCGCCCGAGGTCTAGGTCTGCCTTCAGCTCTTCCACTGCGGGCAGAGCAGCAAGTTAACGACAGGGACAGACTTCTAAAGTGGTGTCACCTCCAGGGTCTCCCACACAACGGAGGCTGAGACCCAGAGGATGAAGTGGCTTGTCCCAAGAGTGCCAAACAGGAAAGATGCTCTGGTTTGGCCCACTCCCAGACCTTGTTGTCCACTGGGGTCCACTCTGATAAGCCAGACCTCCCTCCCAGGTCCTGGACTAGCTCTGACCCAGGCCCCAACCCCACCTGGGTCCCAGCCCACCTGTGGCCAGCCAAGCATCAAGCCCAGGGCGGGTCTTGGCCTTCACATCTGGTTCCACGGTGCTTGGCTGGCTCTTATTCTTCTTTCCCGTCAAGACTTTGAACACCTTGATCAGACACTTAGACTTTTTCGTCTTCATCGAAGTTGTCCACATGTCCACGGCTAGCACCAGGTGCTCAAAGGACACTTCTGACATGGAGGTCTCAGAATCCTCCTCTGACGCTGAGGGCACCTGCGGAGGGCTCCCGGGGAAGTTGAGAGTCCCTGGCACAGCCTGCTCGACTGGGATGCCCTGGAAGAATGCCATCATCTCAGCATCACCCTGATTCAGACCTGCAGGTGGGATGAAGGAAGGGGTTAGTGGCCTCAGTGGACAGGCCCTGGCTCAGCTCTCAGGTCTGATGGAATAATATGAGGCAGCTCTGAGCATGCTGGGTCTGGTTTCCCCAGTCCAATGGCCCAGATGAGCACCACAACGAGTTCTTTTCAGACCTTTAGAGAATCCTTGAGAAGAGGATGTCTTCTGGAAGGGACGTCTCTGAGGCACAAAACGTGGCTGTATCCTGTAATCCAACAGTGTAGTTCTCATCAAGCTTCCAGCTCCTCAGCCTCTTGCTTTTACATACTTCACCACTCCCAAGTGAGGGCTAAGTCCAAGGAAACTTCCAGAACCCTGCATGCCTGCTCTTCTCCTAAGCAGGAGAAGGAGTGCAAACCAGCTCTTAAACCAGGATGCCAAGTGTAGGGAATGGAAGCCGCTCCGCTAGGGCACTAGGGCACACAGCCAGGAGCTAGGCCCTGCCCCGCCTCCCTTCTGTCCAGTGAAAGCTTGTCCCCATAGTTCATTGCCCTGCTTTTTTCAGGACTGAGCTCTGGGCTGGGGGGTGCCAAATCCCTGGTACTCTGCACTCTGACCTGCAGTTACCCTAGCTGGGACTTGGTTGGAGGCAGAGCCAGAGCCCTGGGCTTTCTGGTTACCTCTGCTGCAAGTGCTCCCTCAGGAGGCCTGGCCAGGGAAGTGAGGTGGGCCTGTAGGATGGATGTACAACAGTCCTTGGTCCCCGCTGTCCCAGCCTAATGGGGTGCAGTCTGAAATAGCCCTAGTCCCCACTTCCTGCTTCCGGTAAAACCAAGGGGGAAGCCAAGAGCGTCACTGTGAGGAAGTTCAAGGGGACTGGGCAGGTGAGGTCCAGCAGGGACACAACCTTTTACCAGCAGGTGGGGTCTGGAGGCAGTGTGTGGCCAGGTAAGTGGGGCGCAGGGAAGGCACCTGGGAAGCTCAGTAGCTCCAGGTCCATTGTCCTACACAGCCCTGATTGACTGCCTGAGAGCGGATCTTGGTGCCCCTTGAGCAAGTCCTTTCCCTGGTCACAGCCTACATTAGAGGCACAGTGGACCGGCCCATCCTAATTGCTTCAGGCTTCGTGAGGGTCACCCGCTCTGGGGACAGCCTCTCACTCTGGTGGCACCACTGTGACTTCATGGAGGCTTGGGGGCGGGCTTCCTGGAGGAGGCGTCCAGGGAAAGGGAGGCCACAGGCTATGGACAAAGCGCCGTTGCCCACTGGCCCTGTGCCTTCGTTTTACACACACAACTAGTATCTAGCCCTGTTGTCTCCAGCAAACGGAGGCTCAGAAGGAAAGTGATACATCCTAGGTGAAACCGTAAGTGGAAGGCTCTGAATTCACCCCAGGCCTCCAGGCCTCCCCTGGAACCTTGCCCAATTCTGGGGAAGGGGAGCTGGACCAGGACAGGCTCCTGGGATCCAGACCCCAAGGGCTCAGGCTAGGGAGGCCACTCCATCAGCTTTGTCCCCATTCCACTGGCCTCAAGTAAGCCACGCTCCTTTCTGAGCCTCAGTTTCCCCAGCTAAGCCCTGTTTCTCTGGGTCTGTGTGGTGGGGGAAGCACACTGACAACACCCTCCTTCCCTATTGCACATTCAGAAATTTCCAGGCTCCACACCCACTTCCCTTCTCACTGGCCTACCCCACACCCTCACCAGCCTGGGCACAGGTCCCAGAGAGGGATGGCTAAGAAGCTGGGGAAATGGGGTGTTTGGGGGACTCAGGACTTCCTCTTTCTCCTCAGGTTTGGTTCTGGACTGTCATCTGTCAGGGACCCGCCTCGACATAGTTGTTGGATTCAAGAGTTTTGGTTCACGAGGAGGGGCTATCTGGCGGCGATAGGGATAGCAAAAGAATACAAGAAAGACAGAAAGAGGGAGACAAAGAGACACCCCAAAACCAGGGTGGATGCATTACTGGCATCTGGCAGGTCAGGCGTGGTGAACATATTAGCCATGAGGGCAGTAAGGTCCCGCATGGTATACATCTTAGCTAAGCAGGCAGTACGCACCCCTTACTAGCTGGTCAGTAACACATGCCTAGTCAGCCATACAGCACGTTCTCCAAGGTGCACTGCACACTTTCACCGCCTGCCTGTAATGCACACCTGGGCCAGCCTGCGTCTCCGTTTTATTTAGGGGAGGAGCTTCACACCAAGCTGGGAGGGACTAAAACAGGATACAGCCAACATCAGTAATTTTCCAGACACTCAGGTAACTTTACATCGTACTTTGCTGGTTCGAATCCCTGGCCCGCAACTTGGTTTCTCAGGCTCAATTAACATATCTATAGCCCATGAGCTCAGTTGAGGGAAGGTGAAAGGGAAGGACAAAAGGCTTCGGAGGAGTCCCGCTGTGTTGGCTTCTTGAGCCAGGTTTTCAGGAACTTTGGCTGAATAGCTTGCACCTGGGACAGGTTTAGGGCGGATGACCTTTTGTCTATAGAACAAAGAACCGGGAAGTAGCCAACCTATTTTTAGTTAATCCTTTGGAGAAAAACTTTACCCTTGAAACCTTTACAGTCTCGGCTTTAGGGGGTTTTAATATTTCTCTATGGATAATAAGGGCTCATGTCTGCATTTAATTATAAACATAAATGAATACTAAGATGAAAAACAATTTGCCATGACTGCTACGTGCCAGAATCTGTTCCTCAGAGCCTGTGGCCTGTACGGTCTGTCACACTCGGGCCCCGTGGGCCTCGAACTTCTGACCAGGTTTACACGGTCTGCAACAGTCATCTTCCTTCCCATCCCAGGGGGCTTGAGCAGAGGAGGGAGGAGGCATTTGCCAGTAGGTGGCAATAAGAGAGACATCCCTCCCTCCCTAAGGCCCTATTTTTCAGAAGAACCAGCAGAGATACAGCATGTTTTGGCTGGGAGGGTCATCCTGCCTGCTCCCAGACACAGAAGGAGAGACTGAGTGTTCACTGAGTTGACTGAGACCCAGCTTGAGTTCACCCAGCAGACAGGGCCATGAGGAGGTGGCCCCTTCTATTGACACACTGAGCCTTATCTCCACTTCGTAGAGTGTGCTTAATGGTGCTCCATCCAGTCATTCAGGTAACATTTTCTGAATACCTTCTACATGACAGACACTGAAAAAGGCACTTGGGTACATAACTTAAATTTTATCCCATAACAGTCCCATGGGGTAGGTCTTATCGTTGTTCCCATTTTATACGTGAAGAGTCCAAGTTCCAGAGAAATCAGGTTGCCAAGGACACAGGTTGCCAAGGAGCTCTGGTAGCATAGTGGTTATGAATCAGGCTGCTAACCTCAAAATTAGCAGTTAGAAACAACCAGCCGTTCCGTGGGAGAAAGATGAGGCTTTTTGCTCCCGTAAAGATTTACAGCCTCGGAAACCCTGTACAGGGTCACTATGAGTTGGAACCGACTCCACGGCATATCACAACAACAACAACAAGGACACACAGTTATTTAGTTTGTTGGCCTCCATAGTCCATGCACCTTCTAGTAGACCACACAGCCTCTTTTAGAATTAAAGTTACCGAAGCTAAGCACTTACATTTTATTTCCTTTAGCTTTTGTGGCTGATTTATCTTTTTAAATATTTTTTAATAAATCTGAAGGTTTCTCACATATTTCTTTGGGGGTAAGGGAGGTGGGAAGCGACCTTCATAACTGGAAGAAAACCAGGGTTAGAGGGTGGGGAGGAGCCATGCTGCTGGTGACCATAGGAGGGAACCCTAGTCCCTCCATGCATGGTTCTTGGGACTAAATGGTTTCTTAGTCTCATAGTCCAAGTGGTTACCTCAATTTCTTGCTTCTCATAATTTGAGGGGAAAACAAGGAAGATGGGACAAAGTCCATATTCTGACATCTCGAGCAGAGAGGGACAGGAAGAGGGGACTGAAGTTAGCAAGGAAGAGAGAGCCAGAGATCTATTCCAGGAGCATTCAGGTAGGAGAGGTACCAATGCAAAGTTTATCTTTCCTAGGCTCAGCAGGAAGGAAAAGGTCTGTGATAAGTGACTGAGGGAGAGGACTGGGAGAGGGATCACCCTAAATGGGAAGCCAGTGAGGTCAGCCAAAGTTCTGACGTATTACATGACTTCCTTTTCTTGATCATCACCCTGGAGCCCACTGCCCTGTTTGTAGCAGTTACTGCTCTCCATCCATTCATTCATGTGAGATAGATTTAAAATCCCATTAAAGTCTTCCTCTAAAAGTGTACCATTCCACAACCTTGAGACCAGAAGAACTAGATGGTGCCCGACCACCACTACCAACTACTCTGAAAGGGAGCATAGAAGATTCTGGATAGAGAGGGAGAAAAATGTGGAACAAAACTCAAAATCATAATAAAGGTGAAGTTAACTGGTTGGATGCAGATTGGTGGGACCCTGACACTATGACTCTTAGGCACCTCTCAGGTCTGGAAATGACTAAATTTTCAGCCAAATAAGAGACAGGGGTATAAGGGAAATAAAATTACTAGGAAGGAATGCATACCATTTTAAAAAAATCAACCATTTGAGATCAAATGGGCAGTATTTACCCACAGACAAGGTTCAGAAGGATTAGGAGAGAAGGAGGAATGGAAACAAACAAGAAATCCCTGAGAGGAAGTGGGATAAGTGATGTTATGTTGTGGGGACTGCAATCAATGACATGAAACACAATGTGTATGAATTGTTGAACGAAGACTGGATCTGCTCTGTAAACCTTGTCCCAAGTCACAATAAATGCCATTCATGTGTACCTGAAAAATGTGAAATTGGCAAATGCGTAGTAAATATATAGATAATGCACAAATAAGATATTTTATTTGTCATCATTAAAAGTCTGAATTTTAAACAAATGGCTCATAGCCAATCAGCTTGTTGAACTTTAGCACCTGTCTCATCTCCCATAGCTTTTCCAGAACTTCCACCTTTACCGTGAAGCTTCATGAATTTTCCCAGCTCCATGTGGACTTCTTCAGCATTTTTACTTTCCTACCAGCACGTCTTTGATATCCCATGCGAGTAAACTTTTACTAAAGGTAATATAGAAAAGGCTGCAAGCATATATTGACAGAGAACTTCCAGAGGTTCAAGCTGGATTCAGAAGAGGCTGTGGAACAAGGGATATCATTGCTGATGTC